ATCTCTCTTTTTTTTGCTGTTCTTGTATTGCTGCCATCAAATCTGCTAAGCTGTAGTTTGATTTGCCACCTCTCGTTTCCATCTTCTTTTTTTTTCGTCCCACTCTCTGACATCAATTTGTTACGTCTCTGTTCGTTTGATAATTTCCCGTAACAAATTCTTCCCGAGGAACTTCAGCAATACAAGCCCTTTCTTAACTAAAACTAGTTTATTCTTCCTCAATACAACTTTGAAATACACTTAATTTTCACAGTCACTTTAACTTAAACACACGCTTTAATTCACAATGATTCACGCAGTTTACTACTGCGCTTGACTCAATTGTCTGTCTCTGCCTGTCTGCAATTATTTATATATCTATGCCGTCACTTCTCGCGGGTCTTATATACTATAAGAGTGCATGTCTAGCAAATGCTAGCGTCTTCGCGAATCTTCTAGACACTCATCACGTGCTACCAGCGTCACGTAACTTCCGCTATCGTAACAGTATTATTGCAAATGGGTATATTAAATCATGTAAAAATAGTTACAATTATAGTTATAATAATCAAATTTAATCATGTAATGCATGATATGATCAATTAGATACATGAATATTCTTCCACTCTATAGTAACGCTCCTATTAACATAATTAAAAGCACTTATGAAGAATATCTAATACATCTGCTTTTCAATTTATTTGTATTAAACTAAGAGAATGATGTCACTATGTTACACAAAGGATATTTTAAAAATATTTAACTTAAAATTCCTTTTATATTTTATTTTCTTCAGGGTAAACTGGCGGGTTTATCATATTGTTACGACAGCGGTAGTCACGTGACGCTGATAATACATCATGATATTCTAGAAGGATCCAGTATGTGCTAGGCGCCCTCTATTCTTGTATATAAGTGCGCCGGATAACGTGAGACAAATTATTCGGAATTGAATTGCAGACAGGCAGAGATAAAGACGGACAATTGAGTCAAGTGCGGTAGTGACTGTAAGTAAAGTGTGTGAATCGTTGTGAATTATAGCGTGTGTTTAAAGTGATTGTGGAAATTAATGTATTGCAAAATTGAGTTGAGAAAGAATAAACTAGTTTTATTTAAAAAAGGACTTGTATCGCTGAAGTTTCTCGGAAAGAATTTCTAAGGAAAATAAACAAACGAACTCAGAGAAGTAACAAATTGGTGTCAGAAGTGGGATAGAAAATAAATAAAAAAATAGAAGATGGAAACGAGAGGTGGTAAATCAAACTACAGCTTAGCAGATTTGATGGCAGCAATACAAGAACAACAAAAGAAACAAGAATTACGAGAAAAGAAACAAGAAGAGAGGCAACAGCAGTGACAAGAAAACATGCAACAAT